AAATTAACAAGGACAGAGAATACATAGAGGCAGCTGGAGAAGTAAACATGGGTTGTGTGTATTTTAATATGCCATTAAGGAAAGCTAAATGAATTAGGTTTCATTTTGCTAAAACAAGAAAAGGCAAGTTTGTTTTAAAAAAAAGAAGAAAAAACCCACTAACACCACAACAAACTACATATATGATTTGGTTGCAATATAGTCTACAGAGTCAATAGAGAGAAATAAAAGGGTGAGAAATTAAGAGGTTAAAAAATTCTCATTCCAAGGATATTAATACAATAGGCATATTATTGATACTTATGTGCCTGATAAATGGAAACTATTAGATACTATTATACCAAGTATTCTACTTGCATTATCTAATTTAAATTCACACCCCCAAATGTGCTATTATCCCCATGTTAAAAAATGAAGATTTGGAGTTCAGAGAGAATAAGTAACATGCTCCTGGCTGAGGGGGGTGGGGTGGGGGGATTCAACCCCTGGTGTCTTACCCCAGAGCAGGTGCATTGGCCCCCTGTGCAGCACCCCCTCTCCCAGTACAGCCTGGGTTTGGGGTTGAGGTGGCTTTTCCCAGATGCGCTCACATTTTCCCTGGATCGATTTGGTGAACACGAATTCAGAATTGAAAGGGACTCAAGAGAGTGCTTAACCCAAGCACTTCATATTACAGAGAAGGAAACTGAGGCCCACAGCAGGGAATTTAGGATGGCCCCACCGGGAATGGAGAGGCGACTGTCATTTGGAAACAGTGGATTGTTCCTTTCCTCCCCTTTGCCCATATCTTCTCCCCATGCTCCACTCCTTCTTATATTAACATTCAGATTCTAGGTCTCTGAGTCACAGCTCACTTTTCCTTGAAAGCTTTCAAAGTGCTTTACATGTTTTCCAGGGTTCAAGAACTATGCCTGCAAGTGTCCCCATCTCCTCCCTCTCTCCTGCTTAGATTTTTGGGGCAGGCCACGCAGCCAGGTCAGCAGTCTCCCAGGCCATCCAGCTCTCTGTTTTTATGGAGTTCCAAAAAAGAAAATCCATAGGCTTCCATGGTCACCCATCCCAGTCTTGTATAATCATTTTCTAGACAAACTTTGCCCTAAATTCAATCTTTCTTTCCTTCTCTCTCTCTAATGCAAAATCAGCTTCTTTCTTCTTTCTGGCCTTAGCACCTCAGGACCATTATCCTGCTTAGTGTCTCAAATGCATGGTCTTGAAGAGTTGTTAGATTCACTTTCAGTCTTCTTTTCTTCGGTGAAAGACAATTGCTTTAAGATTCTCTCAGAGGCTCTAGTTTATAACCATTTATTAACTTTGCCATTCTCCCTCTTATTTCTCCTCTTAAACTGTGATCCTTTTGAATACAAATCTCTGGGAAAACTGATCAGCATCCAAGAAGAATTACTTAGGTAGCGCTGATGGAGCTTGGCATGAGGGCGCTTTTAGAGCTGCACAACCTCACCTGTTTGGTTTAGATGATGCTCTACTAAATCTAGACCCTCCTCAGCCTGGCTGATTTAGGAGCAGTGATCAGGGTGTGTACTGGGAGAAGCAGATGGGAGCTGGCGTTGATCAAGTCTTTTCTCCATGACAGGTGCTTTAAGCATTTTGTAAATATTCACAATAACCCTCTGTGCACAGCAATTATTATTCTCATTTTACAAATCTACAACTCTAGAAATAAGGTAACTTGCCTGTGGTCCCACAGTTAAGATTTGAACCCAGCTTTTTTATTCCAAAGATTTGAACCCAGCTTTTTTATTCCAAAGCTATAGTCTTTTCTCAGGACACAATGGTGGCTTAAGATCTGAAGCTCAAACTTAGATCAGCATCAGTCCAGTTCCTTCAGTGGAGGAAGGGGGAGAAGAAGGTAGAGATTAGAAGCATCATAGTTTCTACAGCAGTGACACTGGAGCATTTTTAATCCAAGATGGGGCCTAAGAACCCTGGTCAGAAACGGCCTATGTTCTTAGCTGTTCAATAAACGAAGGGTAGCTTTTGAACTGGGCCAATCTGCTAGACCTATCAAACAAAGTCTGGTTCTTTTTCTGGTCACTGTCAGGCTCTTGCCAACAGGAAAACTGGAGAGCTGAGGAGTGCCACTCTGGAGGCATCAGAGACCTGGGGTCTGAGCAGCAACCTGATCAGGGAACATCGCCTCTGAGTCCTGGGCCCATGAGTAAAATCACTTCTTCTCTCACTTTTAGAGCTCTTGTACCCCTCAATCATCTCTATTTTGAAAAGAACACAGTAAAATCAATTTCTTTGGATAATATGATTTTTTGTTTATAAAAGTTGGAAAAATAGGTCAGAAGAAAAGGGAGGAAAATACACCATAGAACCTGATCATTTAAACATTTGTAAACGCCCATGTTCAAATCTGTAGTCAATCTTGAATTTAGTGCTATAGTACAAATCTAGTGTACTTATAGTGATATATTCGTATATACATAGGTGTATATGTATGTGTGTAAATATATATGCACATGCATACACATACTGCATAGGTCTATACTTCCAATCAGCTAGGCTCTTTTTCCCCCCTAACCCTGCCACTTGACCAGATCAGTCCCGCTCTAAATCTATGGATACTGAGCCACAACCAAACAAGTTTCAGGAATGTAGTTAGTCCAATATCTTCCAATGACTCTGTGCATGGCAGCCCTGGCTCAGTAGAAAGAGCACTAGGCCTGGAGTTGGCAGATCAGTGCCTGAACCCTTTTTTTGATACCTTCTACCTGTGTGGTCTTGAGCAAGTCACTTGACTTCTCTGAATTTTAGTTTTCTCATCAATAAAGTGAAATTTAATACCACCTACCTCATGGGGTTGTTGAGATGGTTAAAATATTGGGTTGTCGGAAAAGTCATGATGCATTTTTGCAACGAAAAACACAGAAAAAAAATACGTTATGACTTTTCCAACAACCCAATACAAAGCTGCAAAGTATAAATCTTATGTATAATTCATTTTTACTCTCTGCTGGGTTCACTAGTGGTAGCCACAGTTCTGATTCCTATTAGCCGTCTAGGAGGAAAACATCAGGATGTTCATATATGTGTGCCCCGAGACAGCAGTGGAGGTAGTGGCGCTGCTTCTTTCTGTTAGGGAGCATCTATCTTCTGCACACACCATGGTACAATAGACACATAAGGGTAGAGAATGCAAACAGAAAAGGAGAAGAGACAGTTGTCCTCCAGGAATTTACTATTTAACCTTAAAAATAAATCATGAAAATAAAAGGCAGTTGTTACAAAGCCATGAATGCCACTCCTAAATGAGTACCTCTTAAATGAGATGGGTTAATAAATTAGATGAACTTGGTCTAGAAGAATATGGAAATAAGAAACGATGGGCCAGGTTAGACTTCTTGGAAGACATCCGTTTTGAAGGAAGAAAAGAATGAAAAGGGTCCTCAGGAAAGGGCAGTGGCCCACGCAAAGATGATGGCACTCCTAAGAATGAAAAGCCAAGTTGGATACTCTAGTAAAGGGGAGAAACCCTAACGTTATATCCCATGCAACCTTCACAAAACCTTAGGAAGCTGACACCATTATCTTCATTTTACGAATGAGGAACTGAGGTTCAGAGCTTGTGAGTTGGAATCCAGGCCTGTTTGACTCCATAATAATCCAGTTTCTTGGTGAGTGATTCCTAGGACAAGCATGCTGGGTTGTTGACCTTTGTTCAAGTCGCTCATTTTCTCTCTAAATCTCGGGCTCTCTTCTGTTATCTTCATCTTGGGCTTTTAAGACCTCATGCTCTATTTGACTGACCACTTCCCCAGAAGGTTGGGATCACTCTGACTTCTACTGTGGATTTTTTTAAGAGGTCAGCAACTCCACCAAATTTGGTCTATATGCAGAAATGGAAGCATGTCTGTCTTTCAAGCCTCAGATCAGTCCAGAATGCCTTTGGAGCCACTCAAAACTAACAATGCTTTGAAAGCTAACTATTGATTAGAAATGGGAATGTCAAGTTACCTTTGCCCAAACAATAAGCTCATTACAAGGCACTTCAGAGAGATTCAAGCAATAAAGACCTTGCTTTGATGACTGTGAAAGGGTAGGAAAAGGCAACAGAATTAGTTACAAAGAGAATGTGCTTTGCTCTCAAGTCAGAGACTAAAGATTGTGGGACATTCTTATAGACAGGAAGAAAGACATTTGTATAAATAAATACATTTCTGTATATGGATAATAACATGTTTACTAACCAATGGGCTTTACTTCTGCTCCAGGGTCTCTATGTGGGAAGAAATTTGTTGCTTAAAGAGAATCTTGGAAAATATGTCTAGTGCAGTGGTTCTCAACCTGTGGGTCGCGACCCCTTTGGGGGTCGAACGACCCTTTCACAGGGGTCGCCGGGGCCTCGTATGTGGGCGTATCTGCATGTGGGCCTGGAGATGGATAGAGGAGCGGTGTCTCAGTTCCTAAGACCATCGAAAATATGTGTTTTCCGATGTCTTAGGCGACCCCTGTGAAAGGTTGAGAACCGCTGGCTCTAGTGACTGTTCGGTAAAGGAGGAGGGGGGTACCACTCCTAATACTCAAGTGATGCTCTTGACATGCTGTCAGTGTTCTGTACGAGAGTTGGTACCAGTCTACTCACACTCTCTTACCAGTCTCTCTTGGTAGAGATAGCATCTTAAGGATGCTGGGGACCTGTAGCCAAAGAAAGAAGGTATTCAGTCGTTTGCTTTTAAATAACTTATATTCTTAGTTTCTACAAAATGATCAATGCATTCCATTATGGTTATAGCTAACAAAATGGTATTTACCGTATTTCCCCATGTATAAGATGCACCCTTTTTTGAAAAATTTGGGGTCTAAAAACTGGGTGCATCTTATACAGTGGTTGTATGAGTGCAAAAAAAAAAAACCAAGCGCAAAAAAAGCAGGAAATGCAAGTAAAAAAAATCTACAACCACTGTATAAGACGCACCCAGTTTTTAGACCCCAAATTTTTTGAAAAAGGGTGCGTCTTATACATGGGGAAATATGGTAACCCCCCCACTCTCACCTTACAACTGGTTGCTGCAAATAAAAAAAGATTACATTCATTTATACCCACACATTTCTAAAACTACTTCAAGATACAGCTGGTGTGAACAGATGTGTGTATACGTGCGCACGTGTGTGTGGATGAGAGTTAAGTCTTCGTTTATTCAATCAACAACTTTTTTTGAGCACCTACTAAGTGCCAGGCACTGTTTCAGGTGGTTGGGATGTGAGAGAACAATAAAAACAAACAAACAAAGATTCCTGCCTGTATGGAGCTTTATTCTACTGGGGAGGCACTGGGGAAACGGACAATTAAAAATAAGTATAAAAATAAATAAAATATATAATATGTTAGAAAGGAATAAGGGAGGACTCTGAGCACAAAACAAAACAGGATAAAAGGATTGGGAGTGCAGCCAGCTTATGGGGAGAGGGTGTGAGGTAAGGAGGCAGGTGATTCTGCTAAGTGGGGTGATCAATGAAAGCCTCATTGAGAAGGTGTGACTTAAGCAAAGATCTGAAAGAGGTGAGGACTTCAACTAAGTGGATATCGGAGGGGAAGAGCATTCTAGGCTGAGAAAACTACATAGAGCAAAGGCCCTCACATGCTTGCATATTAGAGAAACAGCAGGGAGACCAGTGGGATCTCAGATGATGCTAGGGGAGCAAACGGAGTAAGCTTGACTTTCTGTGAGGGTGCTTTTCAAACTTTTTATAAAGCTCAGAGTGAAGGTAATTTACCCTTCAAAGAGATTTATATATTGACCTGTAAATATGGACACAACATTGTTAAGTAAAAGCAAGTCACAAAACAGTATTTATACACACTATTCTTTTAAATTTTTTAAAAGAGATAATACATAGTCATGGCTTTCACTTTTCTACTTCATACATTTGAAAAATTTTGGGGGAAAAAAATCTATCGTTTTAATATCATCTTTGTATTGCAGGTTTCTTGGAAGCAGGAGCTATGTCTTTGTAGCCATATACATATGTATGCATGTAGATAATGTATGTACCTAACGTATGTATGTAGCATAATGCCCATTGGTGGGGATGCTAGTAAGCATTTGATACATATGTATATGACTTGAGTAAATGCATGTTTAATGATTCTGGTTCTTGTTGAATATGGGTTTTTCTGTCTCATTCCCAACACATTTCCTACCAATCTGTGCCATTCATTTGAATTCCTTTGTAGTGACCTAGGATTTTCCTGTGGGACATTCCCATTTGCAGTTCAAGCCTATGTACAGCATAAGGTTCCACCAATCAAGGTGGTGAGTGTCTCACATCCCCCGCCGGGTCATTCTTTGGAGCTTCATTTTGGGGATCTCACTTCCCATCGAACTCTTCCCACTAGTTATCCAAGTGGCTTATCTGTGAAAACGTTTTCCATTCTCTTTAGATCATTTCAATATCAGTTTCACACCTGCTTCAATTCCATTCGATGACCGCCATTAAGTTAGTTTTGAGATTCCTCTCCAGGAGCATAGAGTCCGCTTAGAGTCTCACTCCCAGGAACTATTTTCCAGATATCTTTCTGGTGGGACGCTCAGCTCCCACCAAGCAGTCCCTGCTTTGAAATGGCTTTGATGAATGACCCACAGGGACCAGGCCAGTCCCTGAATTATCACATAGCGCCCTAGGTGAGAAACATCAAGTGCTCTTTGTTGTTGCTCCATCCCCACCCTATATGAACAGATTAAGTAAATATAGTTTCGTTTGGCACAGTTCTGCTGTTTCATTCTTCAAATTCTAAAAATGCACATACACTTTGACCATTCAATAGTCCACGGTGCTGGAGCTGGGGCCTCACTGTACTTCACCTCATTCAACTGGTGACACCTCCAAACACAGTGTGGCTGCAACTTGTGGCCAGTGAGTGCATCCTGGGTGCATGACAGCCCAGTACAAACTCGAAGTTGGCCACCTCACAAGCCAGGCACCCTCACAGCTGCAAGAGGAACGACCTCTGCCTTTTGCTGAACATTTCACCGTTTTAATTTCCCCCTTAAGCACAATCCAGCCACTGCATCTTTTTTTGATTCACAATGCCATTGTACTGCTTATCTACTCCCTCTGTGCTGCTTTCTAATTATGTAAATTATCCTGCCACATTTAATTCACTAAAGGGCATCAGCACTACCAGAAAACCATTCCAGTGGGGGAATTAGCATCACCTTCATACATCACCAGAGTATTATTATTTGTATTGCTGTTACATCAGGTTACTAATCAAGCAGAAATCCTTACTCCCACCTCCCTTTCCCCCAACCAGTGCCTTCCTGTTCCTCCAATATGTGACATACGACCAACTAGTATTGCTTTGTGCCCTGGAAGCGCCAGGCAGCCATAATAAATGAAACTGGCGACCTCTCCTTCTCATCTGGCAGCAGTCTTTTTCTGTCTCGAATGAGGGATCTCTTTACTATCAGGATTCCCAGCAGTGCTGCTCTTGACCCTTGCACACAGACCCAGACCCTGTGGGGCTTCCCCACCAGCTCTGACTCCTTTCACAGCCCCCTGCTCACCCTTCAAGGCCTGGGGTGGGAGGGGAAAGGCAGGATAGACTGCCCGCCTGGAGGATTACCCTGCCCCTACTCCATTTTCCCTTCTCCTGTCACCAATTTCTGACTGCTGTCGATCCTATCAGGGGTCCATAAAGCAAGGAGGACTCTGGCCCGGGAGAGGGGGGTAGGGGTTAGGCAAACAGGCCAGGGAGGCAGTTGGTTGAAATTTAACCACAATATTCTTGGTCTCTATTGTTTTGAGTGAGGCCCAATATTTCCACAGCAGGATTATAGGATCTGATTAACCATGTTAGACAACAATGCCGAGCTGGGATGGGCTTCCCCTTCCAGCTGCCAATATGAAAAAGTAAATACAACACCCAGGTTTCAGAAGGGACTCCCAGGAGCCCCCAAGCCCTACTTACCCCAACTCTAACCCTGCTACTCTTTTTCGCCCCAAAGTGAGGGGAGGAAGAGTGCGGCACTGCATGCTCCTTTAACTCCTGGCCCTTGGCCCAGCAGGACGCGTAATCTGGGCACAATCTCCCCAGGTGAGTCAATGGCTGTGTGCTCCCCACCCTGGAGTTCTTCCAATGCCTCTTCCGGGTTCCCCTAGGCTGGCCCAGATCCTCAGGAACCCATGAGAGTTAGGTGCTGAGAGGCTAGCCGGCACTCATTCAAAGGGCCCAGGAGTGTGGAAAGCACAGAAAAGCCTGTCGGGCTCCAGGATAGAGAAACTGAGTGCAGGTAGAATTTAACAGCTTGGGAGAGCAGCTGAGCCTCTGCTAGAATGCTGTGGTGCTACCTAATGAATCCCCACGTGCCAGGGTAGAGACAAGAATCGAGGGGAAACATAAAAGGCCACCATAGAACAAAGTCTCAGGAGATAAAAAAGTATTCCTCAAAGGGTCTGGGATGAAAGATGGAGGCTAGATGGGCTTGTAGCTCCTCAAATAGAAAGGGATTCCCTCTCCCTCACACCCAGACAGGCACCCTGCACCCTCCCTCTCAGGGCGGGACCTTCTCAGGCCCTCCAAGAGAACATGGAAGAAAAATAGAACATTATAAGGAGTCTTTGACAAGAATACCCAGGAGCAGCTTCCAGGATGTCATAGCAGCTCAAAAAAAAAACCCTCCAAAGCGTGGGCTCCCTTCCCTCCTGGTGTTTCTCTCTGTACCTAAGTGCCTGGCACAATCCATTACAATTTTGTGAGCTCTTACATGTACTGATGTCGGTAACGGGGACTAGAAACCAAGGGCCTGAGCTCTAAGTGTGGTGGCTTCCTTGCAATATGTCACTCACTCCTTTTGAACAGTTCCTTCTTCAGGAAAATTAGAAGATAGAAAAACATCAGGGCAGAGCTTAGAAAGCCATATCCTGATTGTATCAAAACCGAGTTAAGATAAAGTTGCACACTTTAGTAGTATAAAACCACCGCAGTGATGTTTTCTGAGTTAGGGTTAAAAACGGACACTGTTCTCAAGGAGTATAGTCTAATGTAAGGATGAAAACAAAAAGCACATAGGAAATGTGTATATAAACACAGATTACATTAATAGCACAAATAGTGAGGGGTAAGCAGCACAGATAAAGGGAGCGTCCCACATCATGAGGAAGGGTTATTAAGAGGATTTTAGGTGTCCCCTACACTCTTTGGAGCAAATCTTCCTAGTTTTGTCAATAGGAGAAAACAAGGGACAACATAATTGGAAAGAAGAAAATGCCCTGGTGACGATGTGAGGAACAAGATTACATCAGGAGCAGGAAAAGAGGCACAGCCTTTGCTAGTCCCCCTTCTCCCTCCATGTTTGTACTGAGAATCACACGTGGGGTTCCTGCTCATGTCCCAGTGGACAGGAGTGAAGGAGGAGGTAAGGGCTTCGGGAAATGGGGAGGTTTAAATGACAGGAAGGCCAGAAAAGGGGGTTCACATGCACCACAGGATAAAATGAGGGAGGCGGAGGGCTGAGGATGCAGGCGAGTTGAGCATCTCTCCTTGCCCGAGTGCTCACTGTAGGGACCTGCACCAGACTGGGAGGGATCTTGGTCTGACAGGGATAGATGCTCAAGTCCAGAGCAAAGGAACACAGATTTCACTCTTTGCCACTAGGAATTGCACCCTAGGAATTCCAGGGCTCGCTCCTCAGGGCTCAGCGTGAAGACAGAGACTATAGACACTCCTTCCTCTCTTCTCAATAACTTCACTATCCTTTGGAAAGACTCCTTGATCTGGGAGATGGGCTGACTGGAGACAGGAGAAAAGAAAATGACCCCAGTAGGGTTTTCCAGGACCCAGCTCCGGCTCTGCCTTCAAGGGCTGCTGGGAAAGCCCTCCGTGAGGCCTGAGTAAAGGAGGTACTGCCCAGCTGGAGTGCTAAGGGATGCAGCTTTCTCTTCCAGCAAAGAGCCGGCCTGTCCTAGCTGATTGTGGGGGAGGGGTGAGCCAGCCAGCCAGGCCAAGTAGGCCTTGCAGCCTAGGTGGCGCTATTTCTCTACTTTTTAGGTCAAGTTCCTGCAGGAACTTCCTCGAGGTCCTTAGTCCTGCTCCTGGTTTGCTGGCTCGCTCGTGTAAACCACCTTATATTATTTTTTTTTCTAAAAATACTCCAAAGCAATTGAAAGAGTCCCTTCTCCCACCAGCCAGCCCTGGCCCCAGCCCCGGCCCCGGGGAGCGGGCGGGTAGGCGGGGAGGTGGGCCACTGCTTTATTAAACACAGGGAAAACTAATATTTACGGAATAAAATTTATGGAGCAGCCACGAGAATTCGACCCTTTTATGTGCATGTGGAGTGGGGGTTGGGCCAGGCTGGGGGCCTCAGGGTGGGGCCCAAGCCAGGGGGCAGGGCTGGAATACAGCCTGGCTAGGCCAATTTGTCAAGGCAGGGATTTCCCTGGAGTTGCCCCGGGACAAATGATTCTCAACCACCACCCCTCGCTTTTGGGGGTAAGAACTTCAGGGCAAGAATGCCTGAGGCAGGGCCTCCGCAGGCGATGTTTATTTGGGCAATGTCCCCATGCAGATGGCAACCTTTGGGGTAGAGTGGGCAGTGGGCGGGGAGGTCATTAGGCATATTCTTACTTAACCTTTTTAAAAACTACACCTTCTTTTGAGAACATGGAAAACGTTATGCTCTTAGGATTTTACTTATAATTTGGGGGATTCACAGCCCCTTATCCCCCTGTGATTAAAAAGGCCTGCTCTGGAAACTGTGCTCTTAGGGCGGAGGGATTCGCCAGGGTGAAGAAACCATGTTTTCTCCCAGCTCGCTGGGAAAGGCTTTCCATTCTCCATGTGGCCTTATATCTTGTAGATCCTGAAATCTAGCTGTCTAAATTATGCCAAAATGAAACTAAAGAACAAAGTGAGCCATCTATAGGTTGTTTTTACTTGGTTCCCAATTCACTGCAGTGACAGTCACAACTACGGGGCACACCAATGGGACACTGGGGTCTGGAGGTAAAGGAAGGTATCAGCAGCACCTGGGAATGAACCCCGATGGAGCACTCAGACTCTGCCAGCAGGTAAAGGCATGGGGTAGTTCCTGAGTCTTCAAAGACTCCTGTCTGTTCCATGAGGAATACAAAGAACATCCTACTAAAAGGAAGCAGGCTCAAAGGACAAGGATGTTACAGTGGAAGACAGGAAAGATGGGCCTGACATCCTTTCTGGAAAACGTTTTCAGTGATGTACAGAATAATGCAGTTAACAACCCAGCTGTCTGGGTTCAAATTCTGGCTGTTACATATTAGCTGTGTAACCTTTGATAAGTCACTTAATCACATCAAGACTCCATTTCCCAGCGGGTAAACAGTATCTTCCTCATATGATGCTGTGAGGGTTCAATGTGAGGCAATTATTAGAGTACCTGCTATATATCAACTGCTCAATAAATATTATTACTTTATTATAATCACTATTATTTTATTATTGCTTGGATTATCCACTCTTCCATGACTTGAGGACAAAAACACCACTACCAACTAGAGAGGATATGAGAACGAGGAAGCACTTGACCACCATATATAAATAAACCAGAAAAGGCCTCTGTGGGTGCTGCCCCCGACCCCTTCCTCTACCTAAAAGCCCCCAGTTAACATGTCAGTTCTACTTTCCTTCCTGTCTCTCCAAAGTAAAGTTTCATATGGTCTTACCTAACTAAGAAAACCTAGCAGAGAAGGCCAAGGAACTTTGTCAATCCTGGTCTTTAAATATTGCCAGATTTGTCCAAAGAGTTGACTTTCTAAGTTGACTGTCTAAGGCTCTGCCTATCTCACACAGCCTTTACATTTTTTCTTCTTGCTAAGCACTATTCATTCTATAGGCCAATTCCATTGTCCCAGAGAACTCCTGTGGCCATTTTCTTGTTCCCTGTCATCCTAGCTCTTCTAGTCACTATGTTATTTGAAGTGGTGTGAAGGATGGGAAAGTAAAATTCCTTTTTCTTGCACTCCAGTGGGAAACTAACTACCTTGGCCCTGGCGCTTGGAGCTCTTTGTAATTTCATTTCCATATTGTGGTTTAACCTGTTGTCTACGTCTTGGAAACAGACCAAAAAACCCACATCCAGTTGGGCAAAGGAGAGCAGCAGCCATCTGTTCTGCCTTGTGCCCATCATAGAGACAGTTCTCCAGATCAAAGTTCCCACATGGAGGCTTAGCACAGGCCACAGCAGAGAAGCATAAAAAGAACCTTGAAGGACTGAACTGAGGGCCTAGATTTCATCCTGAGACAAGTGGGGTGGGACGCAGTAAAGTGAAGTGGGGTATGTGTTCCACAGAATAAGTACTCTCAAAAGCAGGGAAGTATGAGTGGTTTTTATAACATGCTAAAGAGGGAAGTGGGTCTCTGAGGAGCACCTGGGACTGGCTAAGAACTCTTGAGAAAGGTAGGCAAGGCTTCCTAAGTATGTTGTGCCTTTTTGCTGACTTGCCCTATACGCCTAGAGTCCATGGTAGCATCCAGGGTCTAGAGAACCTCCACCACAAAAGAGGAAGGTATGGGATTCTCAGACACTGGCTTTGACTCAGATAGGGAAGGCCAAGGCCCGATGGGTTGGAGGCAGGATTCCCTCGGGTAACAGTACCCATTCAGGTGGCCTGTCAACGTGAAATTCAGTGATCTTGCCTCTGACTATATAATTGTGTCAGAGATACTGCTGCCGCTGGAGTTCCTTTCAAGGTGGCACTATTTTCCAAGTCCATCCTCAGCAGTTGAGGCAGTGACAAGTCAATCGAAGAGCCCCCTTAGCTTCTTCCTCTTGACCTTGGACAGCTGAGGTCTCTGCACAGAGCCTGAAGGACCCTAGAAAAAAAAGAAATCCAAAATTAACAGGGGATTTGAACAGTTCCCCTTAGGTTAGGAAAGGAACTTCCTTCCTCCCATGGCTCTAGTTAGGATGAGGCCTTCTTGAAGCAGCTGACACAGTGATCTGAAGTCTATGTCAGGCAGTGAATGTGACATAAGGCTCTACGCAGGAGACGCGTACATACCTTCGCCCCCTTCTCCCCCAGGGAACAACCTCACAGATTGCCACTGGAACTGGGATTAGGTAGAAAAGAAATCAAGGTCCATCATTTAGTACAAGGATTGCAGAAAGGAGGCAGAAAGGGAAGAGTTAAAAAACCGCGACTCTGTATATATTGTACAAAGCCACAATTAGGAAGCCTGATGACAAATATGCCCTGATATTGTTAAGGCAGTATCAACGAGGTGGCAATTCCAGGAACCACTGGCTGGGGGGCTGTAGGTGTGGAATCCTGCAACTCTCAGAACACCATCCAGGAAGCTGCTCATGACTCACTGTGGGCTCTTTCTCAGGCCCTGGGAGGGCTGGTGCTGAGGAAACCGGCTCCTCTGGCTGGGTCAGAAGTCGGCTATCAGTTCCTGGTGGGGAGGTGCGGCTTGAGGTCTGAGGATCTCCTGAAAGCAGAAAGATCAAGGGAAGATAGTGACCAATGCCCTCTTCTTACCAGGAAGACATTAGCATTTACCAAGCATTCTGAGAAAGGCCGGGAGTCAGTACTAATATATAAACAGACAGAAGCAGCCCCAAATCCAACTTCCAGCTGATTTTTGAAAAGCCCTATTTCTACTATGAAGATTTGCCAGGCTCACTTTCACCAGGTAGGACAAGAGATTCCTTGACTCAAAATAACCACCTGGTCTTCTACACATTTCCCAACATGTCTCAGATGGTGAGACTCCTCTTTCTCCTGGTTCTTTCACTAATTCTCTTAAGTGCCTAGACCAGTTTACTAGAACTTTCTGCAATGATGGTGATGTTTTGTATCTGCACCATCCAACTTGGTAGCCACTGGCCACACGTGGCTGTGGAGCACTTGAACTGTGGCTAGAGCAAGTGAGAAAATAACATTTTCATTGTATTTAATTTTTATTAATTTAAAGTTAAAAAGTCACAAGTGGCTAGAGCTATCATGAACCTAGACAGCACAAACCTAGACCCTAACTCTAACCCCAGGAGACTAAGTGCTCTTGGAACGACTCACCAGTGTCTCCATGCTTCTGCCTCTCGTGGACCTCTTGTCTGGTGACTGCCATATATAGATTCTGTAGATTCGTGACAAAGGGTCTTCCATCACCAACACTGCATGCCTCTGGTAGTTTCTATAGAGAAAAGGAGATGCTGTCATTGGCTACACTGTATTGCCACAGAAAAGGGACTTGATATTCCACTGGCAGAATTGGCATCAACACCAAAAGAATTTATAGAAAGAAGTTAGATCCCATAAAGGGCACCCATATCCAATCCTGTTGGGACCAATATAAAGACCTCTTGGGGAAATCTCCTCTGAAAGGCAACTCCAAAATATATCTTTATGTCTTCCTATACGCAGGTCTCCTGTGTTCTTCCGTGACTACCCCATAAGTCTCTAGGCTCTTTCTTCCAAAGGGATGATCTCTTAGAGGGCTGTTTTTAGGAAATCAAATTCCCTAAATTGTCCTGGAGCTGTGCAGATTGCTATTTTAATTAAATTCCCTCCTCAACTTCCATTCTAGAGAGAAAAATGATGAATAATGAAATGCAGGACAGGGGGGAGAGAGCAATATGGCAGCACGGCAATAACACACTGGGGGACAAGGAGAAATTGTGGAGTTGTGATATTCCATCAGAGGAGATGAGAGAAATAAAGCTTACAAAGTTCGGGGGCTTACCTGACATTTTATATTCTCTACTGCAACCCCACTGTGTTTTCTTATAATCCATGAAATCACAATGGGGGTGAAACTTCTTCTGAGGGGGGTGAAAATTGGTTCTTATGGGGTAAAAAAAAAAAACCTTACTCTTTTTAAAAAAAGTATAAAGCACAGATATACATACACAGAATTTTGATATATTTTTGATATTAAAATTTCCTAAGGGGGGGATGCTTAGGGAAAAAATATCTTAAAAGGTTTCTTAGGGAGGTGATAATGGAAAAAAAGTTGAGAAACACTGTTATAATCACATATTTACATGTTTCCTTCAAACAGAATGAACTGTGGATTTATATTCACAGCAAAATGCTTTGGCTAGTTCGACTTTCATATATTTGGCTGAACCGAGTTGACATAATGTTGAAGACTGAAGAAAGTGCAATAAAAATGAGATGAAAGAGTGTGGTATCCAGTGGTCCCAAACCTGGCTGCACTTCAGAATCCTGGAAAGGGCCCAGAACTACTTCATCTGTCCCTGTGCATGCAAATCCTTATGGTTCCCAGCCAAGTTAGCAGGTCTCCAAGGAAGCCATGCCAGCAGCTCATATGGGAACCAACCCAAGAATCCTGGGTTGGCCCATATCTCTTGTCAAGGGCACTTTCTCTGGGCCATAAGGGCATTCATTTCTGCAAAACCACTGTGGGGGAAGGATGGAAGAGGGAAAGCGGGAGAAGCAGTGAAGTAGTTGCTGAAACAGTCAAGATTATATCTTTCCCTGTGTATGGTGGTAGCTGAAAAACTTGTTGATTCCCAGGAAATGTAACATACGTTTGTACTCTAACCCAACTCCCATAAAGATTATACCAGTCTTGGACTTGCATTGGAAACCACGGGTAACGACTCAGAAGCCCTGAGTCCCAACTTGACTACATATCGGCCCTTTCCCTTCTCAGAGAGATCTGGTCCTGCAGTTGCTACCAAAGGCTATCCCACCTGAGTATATATCCTCAGAAAAGTACTAGGAAAAGAATATTGGTACATTTCTGCATATTTACCATCTGCTAGATACTGTTCTAAGTATTTAAGGTATTAACCCACTTTTGTCTTATTCACTGCTATTTCCCCGGCACCTAGAACAACCTGGCCCATAGTAGAGGTACAATAACTATTTATGAATGAATGAACATGGTAGGCAAGAGTATGACCCCATTTTCCTGAGGCAGCCACAGCTAGTCAGTGGAGCAGGATTAGAATCCAGGCAGTCTGGCTTCAGGGCCCACAAACATCATGATTACCCTATGTATTTCTCTGAACAGCAGAATTTTTATCAAAGGGCAATACAGCCTTTCCCAGGATCACAACCCTTAATCACAGATCACCCGCCTATATTCCCATCCAGCCCAAGGCAAGTTCTCTCAGGTGACAAGAAAAAAACGAACAGATAAAAAGGAGGCAGCTGGCCCTACCTAGAACCCTCAAAGGCTGAAAGGCCATCCCCTTAATCCTATTCTAGCCCTTCCGGGTCATCGCTGATTCCTTGGGCATCGTCTGCAGAATATACTAGGGAAGAGAGGAGCAGAGGCCAGAGCCTGGGAATGAGGAACTTTAGCTCCCTGCACAGGACAATGGTAGGGTGAGCTGGGGCCGGCAGAGATCAAAGGGACAATGCCTGAGTCAGGACTAAGGAAAGCAAATAGCAGTGCCCCCTGCATAAGTATGACTGAGCCAGGAACAAGGTGTACCAGTCACAAAGCGGGTCACTGCCCAGGGTGGGAAGGGGAAGAATACTGTATGATGTGTTCATCTGGTTAACCCAGAATCAATTCTACTCAGCAAAGAGGATGAGATTCCTACCGTGTGCACTACGGGACCAAGGGGAGGGAAATGCATGCCCCAGTCCTTCCCTCCTCAGAACAGGGCTGAGTTAGTACAAAGAGAAATAGGTCAGAGTCCCTAAGCCAAAGAGTTTATATTGACATGTGGGAGAAAGGCAGATGTTATACACACACACACACACACACACACACACACACACAGACCTCAAACATTATCCTATAACAGAGTTATAAACAAAGGGTAAAAACGAAGGAACCCAGAGAAGAAAGGGATGAATTTTGACTGAGGGTCCAGCAAAAGTCTTCGGAGGTGGTGACATTAAGTTAAGCCTTACAAGGTTAGACTTTGAATGTGGCGGAAGTATCTGAGGCACAAAGGTGTGAAAAAGCAGGATACGTGGATGTATCTCATGGGAAATGAGACCAGAAGGCTAAATTCGTATCTACCAGATTGCAAAGGACTTCGTTTTCTGAATTAAGGATATGCCCATGGGAATTTCCTTTTGTTTCACAAAGTGGCTTTCTCTACTATATAACTGGCTGCCAAGCCTTCCTTGGCTCCAAACTGATACAACAATGAGGAATCAGAAGTTTTCTCTAGGTTTCCTTTTGTAGGCTTCCTGCTACATCCACATAGATTATTTTAGTGCTTCTTCACTGCTTACTGCTAGTGCTGTGACTTTTCATGACCCTCCTGTCTCCAAGGGCCATTTCACGCTCCCATCTCCAATCCGCTAGGACTTTGGCCCCTGCTATACAGCCATATCAGAAGCTTTAGGAAAACCAAAGTTACAGAAATCCTACAGGGCATTTTATTTCCCTTCTTGTCCCTGCGGCAGCCCACCTTGGTTCCTATGGCCCACCCTACCCTCTTAGCGATAGCTCCCATCTTCATCAGGTCTAAAATTCGCTCCCAGTGGTCCAGAAATTCTAAGACTCCCTCCTACTCTCTGATCCCAACAGGAGCTGTTGGAGAGATCCCAACTGCCGCTTTCAACTAGAAAGTAGAGGTCTGATCCTATCCCACCTTCACCCCTGTCTCATCCCTCCTTTCCTCTGGGGCTGTTTCAGAAAAGAAACCTTTAGGGTCCTGGGTAAGGAAAGGCTGGACCCTGACACACTGCTCACGCTACTCAATAGGAGCCCACAGGCTAAGGATACAGATTTATTAGAAGAAAAGGGGGAAATGAGCAAACTGGAGCCCCCCAACATCAGCCTTGAGCAGGTCGTTGGGTCTGGCATTGGCCCCGGAAGCTGGCCCAGCCCCAAGGCCCTGACACTGACCGTCACAATGTCACAACCACAGGGCAAGGCCCCCGACACATGACTTGCTAAGGGTAAGAAGTCCTCTCCTACCTCTTGCAATCTGGTAAACTCTGCTGGTACTGGATACAAACTTCCTTCCCAGGAAGCCCAAGTCGCAGTTTAGGAAATCATCAGTTCCCCTGAGGGGTAAGAGCACATTGGAAAAGTCTTCTAAGGGCTCAAATTACCAGAGGGCTACCAAGATAAACTGAAAGCAACAAGGACACTGCTTGAGGAAGGGGAACTCTAAGGAGAAAGGCTCTTCAAGAAATAGATGCCCCCACCCCATCTACCCACTCACCAAATAAATACTGACCACCTGGATATGGAGGGCTGGATAGATAAGGTGGGGGTGAGACTAACAACATCACCTGATAGAGTCCGTGAAAAGATTAAACGAGAGTGTTCAGGATGATTTAGATGCTGGGGATATAGTACTGTTGAATAAAAGAGATAACAATCCCCTGCCCTCTGGAAGTTTACGTTCTAGAGAAGGGAGATCAAGATGGTGACAGCACCACAGAGCAAAATAAATCAGCACAGGCATTATGGGATAGGGGCAGGAATGTGTTGCAACTTTGAACAGAGGTTAAAGAAGGCTTCACTGAGAGGGTGATATTTTTTAAAGACCTAAACAAAAGTGAGAGAATAATCCATGTATCTGGGTCAAGGGACCAGATTCCCAGTTTGCCTGGGTCCAGTCTCAGGTGATGTTGATCGTTTGTTAATAGAGCTCCCTTTCTCTCTTAAAAGTGTCCCAATTTGGACAATAAATGAGATGGTCACCCTCTATCAGAGGAAGAGCATGGCAGGTGTCAACATGTGTCTGTGTTCATTTGAAATTGTGAGATAAGGAAGTATATTAGCTTTTTTCCCTGTAAGATGGGAAGCCATTAGAGTTCATAAACAGAAGAGTGCAATGATCTGATTGACATTTTAAAAGGACCGCTCTGAGTGTAGAAAGGCAAGAGAAGTGGGCAGATACGCTAGGAGGTTGTCATAATAACAGATGGGAGACACTGGTAACTTGGGTAAGGGTGGATGCAGTGGAGGTGGTGAGAAGTTGCCGGATTCTGGGTATATATTTGAAGGTATGGCCAGTAGGATTTGCTGATGGACTGGGTGTTGGATGTCAGAGGAGTCAAGGTAACTCCACCGGAGGGCATAGGGTGGATGTCTCAGAGCGAGGATCCAGAAACCGAACATAGAATCCTTAAATCAAAAGTGAGAATCAGAAGGAAGAGGTGAAACCAAGGCTCAAGGTTGAAAGTTTAAAAAAGAGAAAGCCAAAAGTGGCTTCTCACTCAAAGAGGAAGAAGCAAGACTAT